CCTGCCGATGCTGGCACACGGGCTGGAGTTGGAGGTGAAGCTCAGGGGCGCTGGGGGCTTTAGACCCTCTCTCCTGGCTTGAAGCGGGGGCCAGGTGACAAGCCTAGGGCTGCTGCATCCCGACTTAGGGCCCCCAAACCACATGCTCTACCAGTCCTTTCTCCACCGCCATTCCCATTGTACAGATGGGGAGAAATCAAGTGCCAGGGGCTCAACAGACTTGCCCTTGGAGAGGGACGCAGTGATAGGGCAGCCGTAACAGGTTCAAACCCAGCTCTCGGGAGGCCTCACTGGGCCCAACATGTCATCCTCCCCATCCCTTCAGAAGGTGCATACCTTAGTGGCATGGGACACTGACATTCACCCATCAGAGGGGCACCAATGATGGCCAGTGGATGGCCCAGTAACAGGGGCGGGACAGCCCTGAGGCCCAGGCATGCCACGGGCCAGCCCTTAATCTAACAGTCATCAACAAACATTTGCCAAGGATTAAAAGGCACTGGTTCCAGGTAGGGGGCTGTATTCTTCTGCTGCCTCCAAGCACAGAAGAGAGGAACAGGGGCCCTGGCGGTGGAGGAAGGAAGGGGGAGGTCCCTGCTCCAAAGGGGGCTCCGAGGTGAGGCGGACACAGAGCAGTCCTGACAGGGGGCGCCAGGCACAGGGGCGGGACTCCGGAGGGAGGGGTCAAGGAGCCGGGCAGATGCAGGAGGCCGTGGGGGACGCCAGGCTCCCCAAGAACTACAGGCCCCTGCAGCCTCCTCTCCTTGTCTCCAGCCAGCACGCCGCCCTCCCTGCAGCTGCCAAAGCTCTAAAAACACATGGCTGACCACATCCTGGATCCCCTGCTTTGGGCGCTCTGCAGCACCCACCATGTGTCCCCTTGTCTCTCCCTTGCCTCCAGACCTCTACTGGGGAGCTTCTCTGCACCCCACAAAACTCACCCATGGCACCCACCTTCACCACCCCTCCCTGCTTGCTCCATCTGTTTGAGGTTCCCTTCCCAACAGCCTATATAAAGGATCCTGGGGTGCAGAGAGGGACACCCTCATGCCATCTGCTAGAGGGCATGCCTGAGGTGGGGCTGGCGGCTGACCGGTGCGGGGTCATCAGGGCTTCCGAGGGAACAGGTCTGTGAGAAGAGGAGGTCGGGGGGCGGGCTCGGGGCATCTGGACATAAGGCTTGTCCACCCACCCGCTGCTCAGTCCCTGAGCGGCCAAGGGCACGGGGCAAGGGGCTGTGGGCAAGGCTGGGGGGCGGCCACTTCTGGCTGAGGCCCTCCCTGGGCTCGGGCCACACGAGGGAGAAGACAGGACTGGGCAGGCGCGGGCCTCTGCAGCTCCGGCATAAGCACACCCGGCTGGGCCCCTGGGTGGTGGGAGCACCCCCATAGCCACAGCCTGGGCTCAGGCAGGCACCCGGCAGGCCACGCAGCCCTGCCCTGCCCTCAGGAGCCCTCAGGCAGGGCCCCGGCTGCCAGCGAGTCAGGCCTTGGGACAGCCCGTGTCCTCACTGCCTTCCAGGAAAGCGAGAGAGGCAGGAGTGGCCACTAGACCAGCTGGCCTCACAGGCTGCAGGCCAGGCCTCAGGGCCTCAGAAGGTCCCATGAGGCCACGCCCTCCACCCCACCACCTGAGGCCGGTCTGCAGGCCAGCTCCAGGACCCCCACCCCAGGCCCAGCCCCGGCAAGCACTGACCTCGTTTGTGCAGCCAGCCCTCCTTTACGATGGCCCCGTCGTTCATGGTGCCTGGGCTCCAGGGGGCCGGGGCAGCCAGGGCGCCTCTCCTGGTCCCCTCTCAGCAGGGCCTCCCTGCCGCCCACCAGCTGGAGGAGGCAAAGGGAAGGTGTGAGGCTGTGTCCGGGAGGCCCGCTGCACCTGGCGTCTCAGCCTGGGACGACGCCCTCTCGCCCAGCCCGAGATGCCCCTCTGCCTGGGCTTCAAGCTCCCTGCCACCTGCCCCGGGCCTCCAAGCCCTCAGAGCCTGCTCCCCCTCACCTAGCCCTCCTCTGACCTTTGTACAAATCACTCCCATCCACAGAAGCGCTCCCGATGTATCTCAGCCTCCCACCTGCCAACCCACAGAGGCCACCTCCTCCAGGACCCGCCGACTGATTCGGCTCACCCAGCTCAGCCTCCCCAAGCCCCGCCAGAAGGCGCCCCGTTCTCCCTGTCCATGGTGTTCCCACCCACAGGCTGGGGGTCCTATGGCAGGGGTACAGGACTTCCCCTCCCTGCCCCAGGGTGGAAAAGGAAATTCAAACATGAAGCAGATAGGGCCAGGAGTGCAGATGGCTGGCACAGAGGAGAGGATCCCTCCAGAATGACATGAAAAATCTCCCCCAAGAAACCCCAAGCCCCTCCTAAACCACAGGGCCCCTGCTGATCTGAATCCTGTTCATTCATTCAGCCAACAGGTACCAGGCACCTCTGGTTTTGCCAGGCTCAGCCCTGGGTGCTGGGGACAGAGAGAGGTTCACAGAGGTCTTGTCTGGAAGAAGCCCCCAGTCCAGGGTAGTTACAGACCCATAATTACGGCATTCAGGCAGCAACCGAGGTGGCAGGCGGGGGACTGTACAAATGCCTGCCCCACAGTGGCCCACCTGCCACCATCTCTTGAGCAGACACTTTGGCCATTGATCCTGAACAGCCCTCCCCATTGCTTGCCTGCTGGATGAACTCCTGGACATCCCTCAAAACCCAGTGCCCATATTCTGGGCATCTCAGGGAATAGCACTCTTCCCATGAGCAGTCTTTTGCCATCCCCCCAAAGACAGGCACTCCTGAGGGCAGGTCCAGAGACTCCCCTCTGGAACCCCCAGACAGGGAAGGCCCCTGAGGACCCCTGGAATGAACCCAACATGGATCTCCCTACTGCGGCCTAGACATCCTCCTGCAGCCCACCTCACTGGCCTCCTGAAGCAGGGGCTAGGCACCAGGGAAGGTCGCTCTGGACGGACTGTCTTAGTCAAATTCAGAAGGGCAGGAAGACCCAGCCTTGTGTGGTGCCGGGACAGAGAAGATGCGCTTTGCGGGTGGAGGAGAGCTCCCACTGTGGTCCCTCGACAGGCTCACGGCACCGACAGCCAGCCAGCGAGGCTGGAGGAAGACGCCCCTGAGGACAGGGCTCCGAGGGGGTAGGCAGGCTCAGGGGCCCTGGGGACACTTGCTTAGGCGTGGCCTGGAGGCAGAGGGCTGGACTCAAAGACCTCTGTATGTCCCCCTCCCCCTCCCCCACGCCACCCCAAGCAGGGCCTGCTGCTGACAGAGTCAGACAGCTGTCGAGAACCCGGTGCGTAAAAATATATCTGCACACACACAGGGTGGTGTGCATCTGCACAGAAACGTACCCAGCAAGCCAGCGCTGGGGCTGCCTCTGGGCACAGGGCCGGTGGGACACAGGGGCCTCCGTTCCCCCTGCTTCTGTACTGTCAGTGCCTTTCCCGTAAACACGTAGTATTGCTATTACTATTCAAGTCACAGCTTAAAAAAAAATAGTCTATGCTCTGAAAGGGCCCCCTCCCTCGGCCTCCAAAACACTGCTTTGCGAACTGTGTGTCAGCTGGGGGGCAGGAGCCAGGCCGCCACCAACGCGCTCGCCCTTCCCTCGGACCAGAGGCCCCAAGGCGGTCAGTCCGCCAGGGCCTGGGGATGACCGTAGGGGGCCGGCCACACAGCACCGGGCCCTGCCCCGGACTCTGCCCAGCACAGCGATCCTCAGGAACAAGTCCCCCCTGCCCCTCATGCCCCGTTCCGGCCCCAGCCGCCCTGGGGCCCGGCCTCTGGAAGGGGTGGGCGGCTCCTCGGGAGCCCAGCCGGTGAGGACGCAGTTCCGGGAGGGTTGGCAGCCCTTCGAAGGCTGGCCTGGGCGGCTCGCCACCCTGCACAACTTTTTGTCTGTGGGAAAACGGGGTCTCCTTCCAAGCGCCCACCCACAAACTTGTAAGACGGCTGGGCCGAGCCTGTTCCCAAGGCCCCCGAGCACCTCCCCGGCCCCGGCCGCGCCCCTCCACCCCAGCCTGGGCCTCGCCGGGCAGGCAGCCTCCCCAAGGTCATGGGGGAGGCCGGGGCCGGCGCCCGCACCCCCGCCGCCGGCCGGGCCCGCGCGCTCCCCGCCCAGGCCGCGCTCGGCCACTTCCTGCTCCCGCGCCTCCACTCCGGCTGCGCGCGGCCCGCGCCCCGGCCCCGGCCCCGCCGGCCGGGAACAAAGCGGCCGGGCCGCGGGGGGAGATCCGGGCCCGGCGGCGCGGCGGGCGGCGGGAGCGCGGGGACTCACCGGGCGCGGCGTCCGGCGCGAGAGCGGGCCTAGCCGGGCCGCGGCCTCCGCCGCCCGCCGCTCCGCATCCCCGCGCGCCCGCCGGGCGGGGCCGGGCAGGAGGCCGCGGCGGGCGTTGCTCGGCGGGCCTGCGCGCCGCCGGGCCCGGTGCTCGTGCGCGGCCGCCGCTCGGTCCTCCGGCTGCGCTGGCCTCGCTGGCTGCGCTGGGCCGGCCGCCCGCCCGCCCGCCGCGCTCGGTCCCGCCGCCGCCGCCGGCCCGCCCTCTCCCCGCCCCGGCCTCCCGCCCACATCCGCCTCCGCCGCCCGGGGCGCCCCCAGTGCGAGTCGGGGCCGGGGCGCGGCGCGGGAGCGCGCGGGCGGCCAGCCGCTGCCCCCCGCCGGCCTCGCGGGCCTCGGCTCCCGGCGCTTCTGGGCCCGGCTCCGCAGCGACGGTGTTGAAAGTGCCGGACCGGGGCGAATCCCGGACCGCCGCCCCCGCGGTGTGGGAGCCGGGTGTTCGGGGGGTAGCCCCACGCCGGGGGCCGGGAGGGAGCGGCCGAGACGGCCGTCCCAGGCCCGATCCAGGGCCCTGCCAGCGAGTGCAGGCCCGCCGGGGCGACTGGGTGGACCGGAAGGCTGGCGAGAGGTGGCACAGGGGAGGGAAGGCAAAGGGGGCTGGGGGGTGGCGGGCGGCCGTCTGGCGGTCTGCCTGCTGCTGAGGCCTCCCGTGGGCCTGACCCTGGGCTGGGCCCCGGAGGGAGGGTTCAGGCCTCCATCCCTGGAGGGTGGCTTCCGAGGGCTTGTCCTCTCCCAGCAGGAGGGTTCTGACACACAGCGACCACACAAGTGGGTGGGGGCTTCGTGTGGTGACGGAAAGCCCAGTGGAGGGGCGCCTCCTGGTGCCTGCCCCCAGCTGCCCCAACCGGAGAGAAGGGCTGTGCCCGCCGGGGCAGCCCAGACTCCCTGCTAGCCCCCTGGGCCCCAGGCACCCACATTCCCTGGGGCAGCTGCGGGGCAGCAGCACAGAGGGGCTGCACCTCCTCCTGCTGAGTCCTAGGGCACTGCGTGAGATGTCCCACCCCTGAGCCCTCCTTGGGCCCTGGCCCTGGGCCAGAGCCAGCACTTTCTCCAACAGCTGCCCTTCCCCCATGCCTGTGGCCCCCAAGCTGATAGCTACCCTTTTGTAAAACAAGGCTCTAGTAGCTACCTTCCTGGGTCTCATATGTATTTTGCAGGGGAAGAGGGGACATTTCTGTTCCTCATCCTGGGTCAGAGTTCAGCCTGGGGGCGACAGACACGATGTGAGTCAGAGGGAGGTGCAGCCCAGCGAGCGCCCAGGATGGCACTGCCAGCTGGAAAAGAACTGGGGCTCCAGGCCAGCCTCTCGGACTGACTGAGAGAGGATGTTCGTTGGAGAAGGACTCTCCCCTGTTCTGGGGCAATTGCTTCTCTGGAAAGGGACCCTCAGTTCCATTCTGGCCTCTCCCCTTGGCCCCTGTCCCCCAACCCAGCACAGCTGTACTGGCTCTGACCGTGTACCCCAGGCAAGGTGCCACCTCCCGGGGACCAAGTGAAAGCCCTGGCCGTCTGTACTTCTGGGGCCTGAAACGTGACCTGAGGGTCACTCCCAGATGTCCAATGTCCACCACTCACCCCACAAAGCTTTCCCCAGGGCCCCCTTTGGGACTGTCCCACCTATCCACTGGTCCCTCAGGAAAGGTCTCCATACGCACCCCATCCTGGGCTGGCAATGCTTTAGAGGAGGTGGAGGAGGCAGAGAATGAGAGAATGGGGCTGGGTGGAGGCGTGGACCACTGAGGGGTCCCCCGGGAGTGCACCCTCTCATGGAAGAAGTGGCAACTCCCCAGGCTGCTCTGGGGTGCAGGCTGGCCATCTGAGGAACAGCTTCTGGCCAGGAGGCTGCATCGCTGTGGTCCAGAACTTCCCGGCTTACTCTCTGCTGGCCCAACTCCATGTGGCCTCCCTGCCAGCTCCACGAGGAGCTCTGGTGCCCTTCCAGTGCCAAGCCCTGCTGGGAGACCCACGCCCAGTTTATGCAGTCCCCAGTCCTGCCTGCACCCTGCGGGAGCCGGCCTGTGACCACTATCCCAGAGGGCAGGGCCAGTCCCACCTCTGGCCTCCTGGAGGGAAGGCAGAGCCCCCTCCCCAAGAAAACCCCTCTCCTGCCCCCCACAGACAGAGCGGCACGGGGAGATTCAAGCCCATGGTCAGGCCGCCCAGGACACTGCCGGGCCAGCTGGAGAGCCCCTCATCAGATGTTCCCAAGAAAACCTGCTGCCCTGGCCTTTGGGGAGGGCGTGGGGGTGCAGACCTCCCTGGAGCTCCGGGCCTTGGGCTCTGTCACCTTCTGCAGCTGCCGGCCATCGGGCAGGACTCAGGTGGGACCTCAGGGCAGCTTCTAGGCCAGATGGCTGTCTCTACCCCCCCCCCCCCCGTGTCCCATCCATGAGGCTGTTCCCCACCACTGCAGCGGCCTCCTGTCATCCCAGGGCTTGGCCTGAGAGGGAGCCCATGGCTGAGTGTCACCAGCTCCCCAGTGCCTGCCATCTCTGGGCTGCTTGGGGTGGCCCCTCCTCCGGGGGGTTGGGGTGATGGGACAGGAGGACTTAGTTCAGACATTCAGACCTGTCACTGGCCCTCCCCCCAGCCACATTCCTCCTACCCCAGCCCTCCCTACCTGTGCCCAACTACCAGGCCCAACCCCAGGCTCCTGTAGGCAGCATCTTAGCCTGCTCACCCCTCATCTTCATCTTCCCCCACAATCTCTATCAGGCCCCTAAGGAGCACTTTGTCCCTCCAGCCAGGCAGGGCAAGCCAGGGCACTCTGCCCGCCCCAAGGCCTCCCTCCCTGCCTAGCTGGGGAGCTGTCTGCCCAGAGCTGCAGCATGGACTGCCTCCCTTCCCTGCCTCTGAGGGCACAGAGGCCTGGCCAGGGGAAGCAGCTCTGGGCAGGTGGGCACACAGAGATTGGGGAAGAGGGTGGATACCCCTCACAGAAGCCATCATTATACATTCACTCTAGACACATTTTCTGAACCCCCGTTTTATGCCCAACCAACTTCTTAGCACAAGGATGCAGTAGAGGACCTTGGGATAGCGTGGTCACATCCCACGGGAGTGCTCTGGAGGAAGCCAAGGCCACAAAAGGAGAAGGTGGGCTGGGGGGACCTTAGCTGCAGTCGTCAGGAGACACCACCATCAGGCGTGCCCTGAGCAGACCTGGGAACGCAGAGGAGCCAGGGAAGGGCATTTGTAACCTGAGTGTGTCGTGAAAGACCCCGGGGTCTTGCCAGGCCCTGCAGTTAATCTTCCCATCGTACAGGTGAGAATGTTGAGGTTCAAAGTGGTGAAGGTTCATGTCCTAGCTGACAGTGGGCAGGGCTTGGGCTCTGAGCCAGATAAGACCCCAGAGGGCCATCACATCTGGGTTTGCTGTGATCTGACTTTAATTCAGCTCCTCCTGCTGGGGGCTGGGGCAAGGGGTGGAGGGACGGGGCTTGGTTGAGGGGGCTTGTCCTCTTCAGAGAGGGTAAAGGTTGGATGTGCAGTGGGATCCCAGGGGTCTCAGTGGCCCAGTACAGTGAGGCCAGGGCTCCAGGCTGCAGGGCCAGGTTTAGGAAATAAAAATGCAGGGTGTCTGGTCGTTTGAATTTCAGATAATTCACGAATAATTCTTTCAGCATAAAAATGTGGCTTTCTTTCCCACGTACTTCAGATCCTAATTGTGGTGTGTCCCAGGGCCCACACACACCCAGGGTTTGAATAGGACCCCTGGGCAGCTGAGGAGGTTGAAGGGCTCCTCGCTCCTCCAGCACCTGCCCTCCTCCAGCACCTGCCCACCTGCATACCTGGCCAGCCGGGGTCCCATTCTCAGTAATGCAGCCCTTCCCCCAGGGCAACTCAAGCATCCTATATGCTCCAGCATCTAACTACCTGGATTGTCGTGAGGATGAGCTGAGCAGTGCCCAGAGGGTGTCAGTCGTGCTCAGTCAAGGGCAGCCTTTTAGGTCATGCCGCTGGGGATCATTCTCTATTTCTCTCTGGCTACCTCCTTCTCCCAGCAGACCTAGATGTCCCCTCACGCCTCCACGGTGCTCTTGCCCCTGATACAGCGTGCCCCCAGGATGCCAACACAGCCCCTCCAGTCCCCGCCCTGAGCACTCCCTGCCTACTCTGGACTCTGGCGGTGCTTGGGCCTCCCCCCCCACCCTGTCTGCTGGGACGTGTCCCGCCCCAGTCTCTAGCAAGCACGGCTGGGCGCGCCTGGCCCCCGGCGGACGCTGCAGCTACGTAGGCTGAGAGGGTCAGGGAGTGTCCCTTGCTCTGGACTCCACGGTTGAGGTCCTGCCTGAGTATTTGAAAGAGGGTCCCAGCAAATTAACTTCTATTCAGAAATAGGCTTTCAGCGAAGAAGGGGGTGTCATCTTTACAAAATTTATGACTCCCCGCCCACGCACCCCCCTCCTCCATCCCAAGGCCGGCGCCCCACGAGGTGCGCCCTCGGGTAACTGCCCCAGCGCGGGACAGGAGCGAAGCTGGTCCTCGGAGGGGGCCCTAGAGCAGACGGGCGCAGCCGGGTGGGGGGGAACACACGGAGGACTAGGCAGCAAGTATCGCGAGAGAGCCCCCTCCCCCGCCGCGCCCCGCGTCCCCTCCCACCCCAGTGCCCCCGCTGGAGGCGTGCCGGGCCTGGCCGGGCGGGGCGCACAGGGAAGGGGCGGCGAGGGTGACCTCAGAGGTTCCGCAGCCCCGGGAAGTCGCCTCGGCCCGCCTCCTCCAGCCCCCGCCCCGAGTTTCGCCCACTCCGGGGCGGGGCGGGCAGCGGGAGGCGCCGGGCCGACCAAGTTGAAGCGCGCCCCGCCCGGCACCCTCCCCGCCGGGGCGCGCTGCCCGGAGCCCCGCGCGCGCAGGGGCCGCACCGGGGAGGGCGCGCGGCGCAGGCGGCAGCCGGAGCGAAGCCCGGGGCGGCGGAGGTGAGCGCGGGGGGCGGGCGCCCGGCTCCGTCCGCCCCGCCCGCCGGCCCGCTCCCCGCGGCCGCGCTCCTTAAATGGGGCCCGCGGCGGCGGCGGCGGCGGCGGCATCTGGACGGCCAGGCGGAGGCTGGGGGCGGCGGCGGCGCGGCGACTCGGGCGTCGGGGCGCGCGGCGGGCGGCCGCCCCGGAGCGGAGTTCAGGGGCGCCCCGTCGGGGACGCGCGCAGGTCTGCGCGGCTCGGGCCCCTCCGCCAGCGGCCGGGCACCCGCCCCCGAAGGAGCGGCTCCTGTTTACTTTCGATCGAGTTTTTCCTGCTTGGGGCAGGTGCCCAAGGCGGTTCCGGGCGGGCGGCTGCGCGCGGCCCCCCGCGCAGCCCTCCCGCGCCGCCTGCCCGGGGAGGGCGCGTCGGGCGTCCGGGGCCGGCGGCGCCTCCGGGCGCGCTCACGGGCGTCCCGTTTGTGCCCAGGTGATGACGGCGGCGGCATGGAGTTCCCGGAGCACGGCGGGCGGCTGCTGGGCCGCCTGAGACAGCAGCGCGAGCAGGGCTTCCTGTGTGACTGCACCGTGCTGGTGGGCGACGCGCGCTTCCCGGCCCACCGCGCCGTGCTGGCCGCGTGCAGCGTGTACTTCCATCTCTTCTACAGGGACCGGCCCGCGGGCGGCCGCGACGCGGTGCGGCTCAGCGGCGACATCGTCACGGCGCCCGCCTTCGGCCGCCTGCTGGACTTCATGTACGGGGGCCGCCTCGACCTGCGCAGCGTGCCTGTGGAGGACGTCCTGGCCGCAGCCAGCCACCTGCACATGTACGACATCGTCAAGGTCTGCAAGGGCAGGCTCCGGGAGAAGCAGCAGGCGCTGCCCCGGGAGAACCCAGCCCCTCCGGGAAAACCGGGGCCTCCTGGCGCGCCCCTGTGCCCCCTGCCTGCCTGGACCCCTGAGCTCTGCCCTGCCGCTCAGAAGGCCAGGCTCCCCGGGACTGGGGTCAAGGCTGCCCTCCCTCCACGAGCACTGGTACCTCCCCCCTGGCAGCCCCCAGGGGAGTCAGACCGGGCCCTGGACCTGTCGTTGAAGCCTCGCCCAAGGCAGGAGCCAGTGCACCCACTCTGCACCCTCCAGGCAGCCCCCCACAGCCAGGTGCAGCAAGGGACCCCAGCACCAGTGAAAGATGAGCAGGACTCGCTGTCGGGACAGGAGGGCAGTGGCCCTCAGAGCCCACACAGCACCCTGCAGCCAGCCTGTGCTCCTGCATCCAAGGGCCAGACAGTGGGCTTGGAGCCTCTGCCACTCAGTGGGTTGGGCAGCAGGGAGCTGGAGCCGGATGCAGAGCAGGGGGCGCGGGGGGACGAGCGGGGTCCCAGCGGGCATCTCTGTGTCTGCCCACTGTGCAGCAAGCTGTTCCCCAGCGCCCACATGCTGCAGCTGCATCTCAGCGCCCACTTCCGCGAGCGGGATGGCTCCCGGGCTAGGCTCTCGCCCGACGGCACTGTGCCCACCTGCCTGCTCTGCGGGAAGACCTTCTCCTGCACATACACGCTGAAGAGGCATGAGCGCACGCACTCCGGCGAGAAGCCCTACACGTGTGTGCAGTGCGGCAAGGGTTTCCAGTACTCCCACAACCTGAGCCGCCACGCCGTGGTGCACACTCGCGAGAAGCCTCACGCTTGCCGCTGGTGTGAGCGCCGCTTCACACAGTCTGGGGACCTCTACCGCCACGTCCGCAAATTCCACTGTGGCCTGGTCAGGTCCCTGCTCGTGTGACACATCTCTGGGGGTCGTGGGGGTGGAGGAGAGGGCAGACTTCCCAGGGGGACCCTGGGACGAAGCGTAAAGGACGGAGAGTTCGGCCGGCAGATGCCCCTGAGCCTGGACTCGGGCCAGCAGAAAGTACACCGCTGCCCCCGGAACGCCACCTCGTGCTCCCCCGCAGGTGACTGGCCAGCCTTCTCCAGGCCTCGCCCCCTCCCCAGCCCTTGGACTCACTCCTGCGTGCTCTGACCCAGATGCTCTTCCCCTCTGTCCTCTGCAGCCAGTTCCAAGGGGGTTGGAGGGGCCCTGAGCTCTGGCATGAGGAGGCGCATTTGTCCTCCTGGGAGCTTCCCTGGCCACCTCTCTGGCATGCTCTGGTGTGCCCCCATGAGCCCCATGCCATGCTCGCTGAAGGATGTACACATCACAGAAGTTCTTGGAGTGGGTCCCCAACAGGGTGCTTGAACAGAACAGGCCACTCCTGGTGGGTGGCAGCAGGAGCCCTTTCTGAGGAGGCCCCAGGTGCAGTGCATGCCAGCAGGGACAGGGCCATCAGGGCACAGCTGGCAGTGTAGGGGGTGCAGGTCCCAGTGGGGACCCCAGGGTGGCAGGAGCAGAACCAGCCAGAAGCTAAGTGGCTCTGGAGTTGTGGGCACTGGGGTGGGAGGTAAGGCCTCTAGAGCTTGTAGTCCTGATCGTGCTGTGGCTTTGGGCAGAGAAAGTCGGATTTTGGAAAGGATTCTCTTTAGATACAAGAAGAGCCTCCCGAGGTTGCCAGATGTCTGCCCATGTGCAATGAGCTGTGCCACTTCCCTGCCTGAACACAAAGGCACGGGGTGCCTCCAAGCATCCCCAGGGTAGTGCCGAGGGGCCTGGAAGTGCAGCTACCTGTCCTGAGTATTATAGGCTGCTGCTGGGCCACGGTGGGCTTGACCCTGAGGTCGCTCATTCACCTACTCCAGGTCCCCCTGGGCGTACTGGTCATTTCCAGAGCCCTCGGCTCGGAGCCACAGGCCGCTCTGTCTACCAAGAGCCCTGTTTGCAGGGTTTTGCCTCCCTGCAGTGGGGTACTGGTGAACGTGGCCATTACACACGGAGGGGGTGGGGGGAAGGTGGGTGGCAGTGGGCCAACACAGGCCCCACCCCTATCCACAGCCAGGGGACTGACGCTCTGAGATCGAAGGACCTCTGCGTGCAGCTGGTCAGGGGTGCCCTGCCTTGCCTGCAAATCTAGCTGCCAGACCTTTAGTGGCTGTGGCAAGGAGGGGGACAGAGGGGGGCCGCCCCTGCTTCTGGGTGTCCAGCAGGTGGCACAGCCTCCTGGAATCCTTTCCTCAGACCACATCGTGGGCTGTTTCTGCTGTGGCTGGAGTCAGTGCTGAGGATGGCACCTGGCTTCGTTTAAGTTATTTTCTCTTCTCCTGACAACACTTGATGTCATATTTATTCATCTGCCTGGTCTGGAGTGCAGTGACTGTCGGCCTTCACAGCAGGTGGACAGACGGGCTCATCTCCCTGTGCCCTCAGCTCTCCTAGCACGTGGGCAGCCTGCATGATGGTCCAGCCCTGGGGCTCAAGCTCAGCAGCCCTGGACAGCTGTGGACCAGAGGGCACTGGGCAAAGGAGACCCCCGCTTCTGACTCTTATGTCTCTGGCCCTCCAACCCCCGAAGGGCTCATGGGACATGTCTTTTGGCATGTACTCCATGATCAGGTTTCCTCGTGTGTGTGTGTGTGTGTGTGTGTGTGTGCACGTGCACACGCGAGCGTGCATGCGCGCATTTGTGCACAACCCCAGCAAATGGCAGGGCTGAGCCGTGCCAGCATCCGTGGCAGCTGTGCCACTGGCCCCAGCAGGCAGTGGGGAGGTGTGGCAGTGGCCCTGGTTTTCCCCAGGGGCTTCCATGGGGGAAGAAATTTACTTTCCTGCCCTGAGTTACCAACACTGGATTCATTGTTTTCAGCACTTACTGTGAAGTTAATGTAAAGCGGAGAGGTCAGTCTTTAATTTGATGCCCTACATGATTCAGATGAAATATATACAAATGAGACACTAACTGAGTGGGAGCCTGTATCAGCTGCTTGCGGGGTCCTCCTGGGCCAGCCCGGCCTCCTGCCCTTGGGGGCCCGGCTCCAGGTGACCCCGAGGACAGTTGTTTGCTCTCAGCATGTGGCGGGAGGTTTCACTGGCACACACCTGCCCTCTGGGGCAGTGCTGTCCTTCTGTGTCCCCGTCGTCTTCGTGGTGGCAGCGGTAATACCCGCCCCCCACAGTGCAGATGGCTGCGGTGACACCTGGGGACGGTGTGGGCTCTGCTGGTCTGGGCCGGTGGGGACAGGAGGCAGCGGGGGCCCCGGGAGCGCAGTGGGCACTCTGGAGCCCTGCCCCAGATGCCGCCTCCTGCTGCAGCTCTGGGGCAGTGGGCTGGGGCAGGGCTGCCAACCGGAGGTGCATCCTCTCCCCAGACTGCACCCTCACCTCCCATCCTGAGCTGAGGGGGGGTCCCAGGGAGGCTTGTTTGCTGGGCAAGGACGCAGGCTGGGGCCTGGTGGCTTCTCTCAGGGAGGGAGGGGCGAGCAGGAGCCTGGCAGGCCCTGGGGCGGGGATCTGAGGCTTCCCGGTCTGTCTCCCACCTTCCAGAGGCTGCCCCAACTCCCCTGCCCCCACGTGTCCTCCCGCACACACCCCTTTGCCCTGGCCCCTCCCTCTACACCTCATTTGTACCCCACCCCACCCCTCTGGGTGGGGCTGGGCCCTCAGAGGCCTGGCTGTGGGCAAGCTTTGAAGGGGTTGTTGGGTCGGGCGGTGTCTGGTCAGGCCTGGCCCTATGTGGGTTCTAGAGCCCTAAGCCAGGCCAGGCTGCTGTCAGGGCTGAGAGGCAGGTATGGGTGGGCATTCCAGGCCCTGCCAACCTGGCCTTGCACAGGGGGCATAAAGCCAGTGCTCCCTGAGGGATCATGAGCTGTGCCTTCCTCACCAGGCCCGGGGCAGAGGGGCACACAGCCTCACATGTGTCCCAAGCCTGGTTCTGGCTGAAGCACCCTCCAGGAAGAGCTGAGGCAGGACCCGAGGCGCAGGACCACACTCACCAAGAGGCTGCATGGAGACAAGCGGGTGCTGGAAGGGCCCCCCACTCCCGGGCCGACTTCAAGGCCTGCCTCTGGGAGCTCACACCTGGCGCTGCCCCTCCCACCCTGGCCTGCCTCCGCTGAGCCCCTGGAACAGAGCCGCCGTCCCGCAGGGCTACCCTGTCATGGTCCCAACTGGGGCCACCCCTCGGCGGGGCCTCCTCAGAACCAGGAGGGGGCTGTTGCCTCGCGCCCCAGCAGAGGAGGAGGGGCAGAGAGGCCCCTGGGAGGGGGTTCCGGGGCCCTTCCTCCCTCCCGCCCGCTCTGCCAAGATGCGCTCACGCCCAGCTCACGGCAGAAGCCGTCACTAAAGCCATCAGCCCCGTTTCTCCCTTGCAGGAGGCCATCTGGCCTCACCCATTGGTTGGAAGGTAAACCGAGGCATGTGGTAGGGCCTGGCGTCTCCTCGGCAGCACCTCCACCACCAACACCGTTATGGTGGAGCCCCAAAGAAACTGACCCTAAATTCAGGCCAGTTTCTAAGTTGAGGACCTGGTGGCTGATTGTGGTGTGCGGAGGGGCAGCAGGAGGCGGGGAGACCCCCCAGCGGAGCCTCAGTGTGTGTGCCTCCCCCCCACCAGACCCTCAGGTTCCAGGACACCTCACATCCGCGCGCCTCCTCCCCCGATCCCGCGTGAAGACAGTGCCCCTGCTCCCATCCTCCCCCCAGGGAAGACGCCCTCCTGTGCGGTCACGGCATCCTTGGGGAGGGCACCTGGCCCCTACCTTGTGCCCAGGGCGCCTCCTCTCTGCCGCCTTGGTGTTCTGCCTCGTAAAAGGGGAGCAGGCAGTAGCCGCTGCGGGTGAATGGGGAAGGCCACAAAGTACCAGCCAGTGGCCCAGGCCGGCCTCCCCAGGGGGTCATCCCTGGGTGAGAGGGGCACCCACAGTAGAGGGCTTTGGCAACAGCACCCTACATAGCAAACCAGCCCCATCTGGGAGTGGTGGCTGTGCTGGGTCGTGGGTCACAGGCATCTGGGTACTGTCACCTGCCCAGGCTGCCACCGCCCCCACTGCTCCTGCAGCTGTCCCTGGCTGCCCGGCAGAGTTCGTGAAGGGCGGTGGAGTGCACTGGGCAGCGGAGGAGTATGGGGACAGCTGGCTGGAGGGCTGGGAGTGACAGAAGGTGCTGCCCTAGAGCTGGGCCATCGGGGCCTGGGGGCAGGGGGTGGGGTGGCAGGCAGTGCAGAGCACGAACCGCCGCTCAGGGCCCAGGCCCACAGGCCCACCCAGCAGGTGCCCCACAGGGAACGGGTGGGTCTGGAGCATCCCAGGGAATCCGAGGGCGCTGGGGACTCACCTCCCTGAGCTGGACTCAAATGGTTTTATTTTGGCCAATTTGAACGGAAGTTTGTACAAAGAGAAACCCAGTCCCTCACTTTCGTCAGCAGGTGGCTGGGCCTTCCTCGTTGGGCATTTCTTCACCGGTGTCCGGTGTCCTAGTTCGCAGCAGGTGGTCACAACACAGTGCCAGGCTGGCTGCCTCGCCAGCAGACTTTCACTGTCTCAGTCCTGGAGTCTGGAATCCGGGGCTTCCCTTCCCCATGGGGGCCAGGGGCCAGGCGGGGAGCAGGGCTGGGTGCCCCGAGGCCTCTCCTCTCCACGTGCACAGCCCTCTGGTGCTCCTCCGGGTCCCTGTCTATGGGGACACCAGTCATGTTGGAGCAAGGCCACCCACTGACCTAATTTTAACGCAAGCACCTCTTAGAAGACTCCATGTCACCTTCTGAGGTCCTGGGGCTTAGGACTTCAACATATGAATTTGGGGGATGGAGACACAATTCAGCCCCTAACCACTGGTGTCTCAGAGGAGCTTGGAGGCCCAGATCCCATGCAGCCTGGCTCTGCCCAGATCTGGGCCACCACTGCAATTTTCTTGTCTGTGAAATTTGTTGAGATTGCCATTTTCCCCCTTCGACATGCCCAGCAACCCATGGGTGGTTGGACACTGCCAGCGTTCAGAGCCACAGCTCTGGGGGGAATGCCCTCCTCAGGAGCCCCCAGGCCTGATTCCTCTCTGCCCACAGCCCCCATGGTGGCCCACGGTCACCCTGATCTCATCCCCTCACTGGCTCCCTCCCAAGCCGGACTTCGTGGGTGTGCTGGGCATTCCCCGGGGCTCTCCCTCCCAACATGGCCTGCTGGTCTCATTGTCCCACTGGTGTCACTCCAACTGTGCTTTCCTGCAGTGTCTCACACACACACACACACACATATATGCCCTTTCTTCCATCTGTCCCCACCAGGGGCCAGGGAGGTGGGGGACACCCTGTCCTCCGTTGCCTCACAAAATCCCAGCTCTCCTGAGGCTCATGCCCTCCACACACATCCCCCCTTTCTCTACCCGAGGGCTCTCCTGCTATAATGTAAAGCGGAGAGGTCAGTCTTTAATTTGATGCCCTACATGATTCAGATGAAATATATACAAATGAGACACTAACTGAGTGGGAGCCTGTATCAGCTGCTTGCGGGGTCCTCCTGGGCCAGCCCGGCCTCCTGCCCTTGGGGGCCCGGCTCCAGGTGACCCCGAGGACAGTTGTTTGCTCTCAGCATGTGGCGGGAGGTTTCACTGGCACACACCTGCCCTCTGGGGCAGTGCTGTCCTTCTGTGTCCCCGTCGTCTTCATGGTGGCAGCGGTAATACCCGCCCCCCACAGTGCAGATGGCTGCGGTGACACCTGGGGACGGTGTGGGCTCTGCTGGTCTGGGCCGGTGGGGACAGGAGGCAGCGGGGGCCCCGGGAGCGCAGTGGGCACTCTGGAGCCCTGCCCCAGATGCCGCCTCCTGCTGCAGCTCTGGGGCAGTGGGCTGGGGCAGGGCTGCCAACCGGAGGTGCATCCTCTCCCCAGACTGCACCCTCACCTCCCATCCTGAGCTGAGGGGGGGTCCCAGGGAGGCTTGTTTGCTGGGCAAGGACGCAGGCTGGGGCCTGGTGGCTTCTCTCAGGGAGGGAGGGGCGAGCAGGAGCCTGGCAGGCCCTGGGGCGGGGATCTGAGGCTTCCCGGTCTGTCTCCCACCTTCCAGAGGCTGCCCCAACTCCCCTGCCCCCACGTGTCCTCCCGCACACACCCCTTTGCCCTGGCCCCTCCCTCTACACCTCATTTGTACCCCACCCCACCCCTCTGGGTGGGGCTGGGCCCTCAGAGGCCTGGCTGTGGGCAAGCTTTGAAGGGGTTGTTGGGTCGGGCGGTGTCTGGTCAGGCCTGGCCCTATGTGGGTTCTAGAGCCCTAAGCCAGGCCAGGCTGCTGTCAGGGCTGAGAGGCAGGTATGGGTGGGCATTCCAGGCCCTGCCAACCTGGCCTTGCACAGGGGGCATAAAGCCAGTGCTCCCTGAGGGATCATGAGCTGTGCCTTCCTCACCAGGCCCGGGGCAGAGGGGCACACAGCCTCACATGTGTCCCAAGCCTGGTTCTGGCTGAAGCACCCTCCAGGAAGAGCTGAGGCAGGACCCGAGGCGCAGGACCACACTCACCAAGAGGCTGCATGGAGACAAGCGGGTGCTGGAAGGGCCCCCCACTCCCGGGCCGACTTCAAGGCCTGCCTCTGGGAGCTCACACCTGGCGCTGCCCCTCCCACCCTGGCCTGCCTCCGCTGAGCCCCTGGAACAGAGCCGCCGTCCCGCAGGGCTACCCTGTCATGGTCCCAACTGGGGCCACCCCTCGGCGGGGCCTCCTCAGAACCAGGAGGGGGCTGTTGCCTCGCGCCCCAGCAGAGGAGGAGGGGCAGAGAGGCCCCTGGGAGGGGGTTCCGGGGCCCTTCCTCCCTCCCGCCCGCTCTGCCAAGATGCGCTCACGCCCAGCTCACGGCAGAAGCCGTCACTAAAGCCATCAGCCCCGTTTCTCCCTTGCAGGAGGCCATCTGGCCTCACCCATTGGTTGGAAGGTAAACCGAGGCATGTGGTAGGGCCTGGCGTCTCCTCGGCAGCAC